ATCTTTTCAATAATTATCGATATCGATCAATATGCATTTTCTTTTATCGATAAGCTTTTTTTCTATATCGCCCAGCCCTAGAAGATAACAAAAAAACTGTTTTTAAGACAGGATTTTTTATTTTTTTAAACAGAAATTTTCCACATTTTGGGACAATATATTCTAATAAAGAGTATATTTATATACACGTTCAAGCCAGAATGATTTGACATTAAAATATGATTTCCCTACGACTTTAAAGGGCATCTAAATGTAATCATAATGATATTACATCCTTATTCCAACAGATGGTGCTTTAGTACAGGAATTAGTAAACAAAGCACTGAGAACTTAGAACAAAGAATAAAACTGTGCTGCATTTCAGTGATAAAGTAAACATATAATAATGCAATAATGGTGAACACTGCAAAGGTTTAAACCAGAAATGCAGATTTGCGACTGAATCGGACAGAAGTTGACACTTTAACCCCTTAAATGTTACTATTTTTCACTTTTATTTTATTTATTTTTTAGGGGGGGGAGGGTCGTTAAAAGCTGGACAACGAGATTAAATGCTAAAATAAATAAACAACAGTTAAGAAAATGGAAAAAGACAAAGAGATTCCTTTAATTTCGATCGTGTGCATCAGGGGTTGATGTCGAGCAGGACCCCTGGATAAAAAAGCCATGTGGGAAAAGTTACAGCTTAAAGAAAACCAATGAATTTTACCTGAATGTGACCTCAGGAACGGGACACTTCACTCCGTTGTGAAAAGGTTGCCTTAAAGAAATGGTCTGGCTGGACTGATCCACAGATGACACCTCTCCTTGATAAACTCCCAACGTTGGTCCACAGTTAAGAGACACCAAACTACCTAACCAGTCAGAGGCCATTATCTGAAACACATAGATTTGAATTAAAAACACACAGTTAAATATTTACAACAGAAACCTCAGAATTTATTAAATAAGTTTTATTTTCAACTCGTAGGAATACCGAACTATCCACTCGTTGAAGCTAAATTTTAGCATTAGCTACGGCCTAGTAACAAGCTAGGTCATTCTACAGCTTATTCCGGTTATAAAACACAAACTATAAAGACAAGGTCTCATACCCTTTGAATGTTAAATCAAGCTGGACTTCTTAGGACAGCACAGTGTAATAAGTTATACATATAAAGGCGAAGAATATAGCTCTTTAAATGTAGCCTCTCTGTTTTTAAACGGCTGTTGCTGCTAGTTTCCTGTTTCCGGGAAAATGTGGCTTTTCAAAATAAGACGCGTAAAAAAAAATTTCTCCTTGGCAACAGAATCACTATAAGATTTTACATTTTTTTTTGTTTATTTTTTTACTGTATGATGCTTTTCTCAGATAATTTTTTGATGTTAACAACAAATTGGATTATATCAGATTACTTATTTTAGAATGACATTACAGACAAATACATTTTGATTTGGTTCCCTGTTTATTTCTTAATTATTTTTTTATTGGTTATTCCTACCTCTAACAGCGGGATTACTAATAGGTTATCAAAACACCACAGGTTTTTTTTTTAAAAAAGAGGAGCTGTGCTTTTGCATACTAGCCTACTAACATGACCAAAAACAACTTTGGATTTAGTCACAAGGATGCAACATTTCACATTAACCTGGAGAATATTGACATCCTTAGAGACAAGTTCATCACAATCCTTATCCGTAATATTTAAAAACAAATGTCTTAAATGAACATTTTATATAAAGAGCTTCTTTCCTTGGTGCTTACAGCAGTCATTTCGTGTAGAATGTATTTAATCTAAATTAAAAAAAATTTGTTATTGATGTTTCAGAAATATACTACGGGGCAATCACACTCTCATACAGCTTGCTTTTGTGTACTGAGGTCACCATGGGTACTCTGGAAGGGTGTTACAAGGAAGCTGGTGTCAAAGTTGTGCGTAGGTCAGAAATAGAAAAGTTTCAGCCATGACACTGAACAGGAGAGAATTTCTCAATGTCCTGTTCATTAAAATCCAAAGTTTTCTTTAACCAAATTGTATTTCCTTTTAGAATTACATATGCTTTGAGAGGGCTTCTTAGTGGGTAGCACTGCTGCCTTGCAGCAAGAAGGTTTAAGATCTGATTCTGGGCCTGGGGTCTGTCATGTTCTCCCTGTGCATGCGTGGATACTCTCCGGGTACTCCGGCACAGTCCAAAATAGGTTAACTCTAAATTCTCCTTGGGTGTGAGTGTTTGTGTGAATGGTTGTTTGTCTCTGTTTTGCCCTGCGATGGACTGGCGACCTGTCCACCTGTTCAGGGTGGCCCCTGCCTCTCGCACAAGACACCTGGAGATAAACACCAGCCTATAAGCAGGATGGCGTGATTGGAAAATGGATGGATGGAAGTTATGCATTGATAAAAACCTAGTATGTTTAGAAAGTCCTGTAGGGGGTGAGCATGTGTTTCCTATCACGTAAATATCTGGAGACATGACTCAATAATAGTTACTCACATCCAGATAACAGCTTTGTGTGAAAGCATGTTGCCTAAATATAGGCAGGAG